TTTAAAATGGGCAAAAGGATGAAAGCGTGGAATGCATCTTGGGTCCTTAGTAAATAATGATTGCTTTTTATCTGCCTGCAAGAACCCTCCCAAGGCAGCCTCATGGCAAGATGCGGCCTCAGCTCCATCCGATCCCATTTTGTGGCATCTGGAAACAACAGGCGAGTGGAAAAGCAGATCCAACTTGTCTGCATCACTTACATCACTGCCCCCTTTTGCTAATGGGCTTCGTTTTTTCTCTTCTTTTCCTCTTTGCCCAGAGGCAGTAACGCTTGTCTTTAATCAGCGTAAGGTAATTGAGTACCCTCACATCAGCCTGCCAGGAAAAATGAGCCATTAATTTCCTGGAGGTTCCAAGAAAACGCTTTTATTTGTTATACTACAAACATATTGAGGCTGCTGGTCTGGAAAGAAAAATAAAACTCGGCTAAGTCCCCTGTTTACCAAAAGTGCCCTGGTAAAAATTAACTGCAGTGGCCAAGGCTACCTTCTCTCCTTGTGACACGCCGATGAACTTCGCTGTAATTGGGAAGCAGGGCTCCAGTGTGTTTACCACCGATATGTCTGTGAGGGAACCTGTTACCCCGTATATGGATGGAATTCGGTTGTGCAATTTTCAGCCCAGGAATCGCGCAGGTAAATCAAAAACAAGACTTGGTGTGGCTTTGGGTTTGCTTTTCCCTGCCATTGGCCCTGGCCCTCTCCCCACCTTCTCCATCAGACCCGCTGCATGCTGCTTCCGGTAGAAGCTTCTGGATAAGCTTCGTGCAGCCTTTAGGGGACACTTTCACCCTCTCCCTGACGGGCAAACAGCCTGTTCTGATGATGACTGGTCCTCCTGGGCCGTCCACACCCGTTAGTCAGAGTCATGCCGGCCTGCTGGCTACGAGCTCTGGCTGCCCTGTGAGAATCGCCAGTGCCAGAAAGTTCCTTGGCTCCTTGGGAAGAATTCCTGTGTCTCGCCCCTCACCTTCTCCGTCTGTCAGGCCTCCCTGGAGAGTCCTTTGAGGACCTGTTCATGTCAGGGGCTGGAGGCTGGGACAAGGGGGAGGGAAGTGACATCACTGTCCCGTTTGGGGGCCGCTGCTTGGGCCTGGAAGTGAATGATCCAAGACTGACTGCGGCAGGGAGGGGGAGAGGCAGGAAGGCCCCGTCTCCAGCATGAATGAATGAGGCTGGGCTCGCACTCCTAGTCCAGTCATCACCGACACTCCTCCCTGCTACTGGGCGGAGGCCGTCAGCTTGAGCGCCCCAGTGACAGTGGGGAAGGGTAGCCGGGAACGAGCCAGGCTCCGTTTTTTGCAATTATTGATCTGACTTTGATTGCAAGCAATGGGGTTTTCAGGGAGCTCAGGACACTCGGTTCCAGAGTCTGTGCAGCTGTCTCTTGGCCCCAGACACAAAGTGGCCCGTCTTGCCATGTGAGAGAGCAAAGCCTGGTCACTCTTGTGACCACTGACACCCCTACCTCCTCTCCACTCAGGGCGGGCCACTCATCCACGTGGGGAGACCCAGCATCCTGGGCCCCTGAATCCTACTTCCCGTCCCCACCATGGACTCCTGGGGATACAGTGGCCCTCCTGCCAGGCTCCAGCCTGGCTCCGAGGACAGACCCATGTTAACAGAATCTCATCATACTACACTCAGCGTCCAGAGAGAAGGGGGCACAAGGTATCCACTCTTTTCATTAATTCAGCAAAACAGCAAATGGGGGGAAAGTTAAGAGGAAATGAGGATGGATAATGCAAATCTAATAGCATCAGAACTACAGCCTTGCTGGAGCCCATCAGCAGAGCGCTGGCTTGGGCCTAGTGCCCTCCCTGCCTAGGAGAGCGCTGCTGGGGAACCTGCGCAGGGCCTTCTCTGGAGCTGGATGCTGGGGACGTGGAGGACCAGGAGTAGGTGAGAGTCCTGAAGTGGGCATGCTGTGGGTCTGCCCAGGGTGCAGGGGGCAGGTGAGGGCTCACCTGTTGGGGTGCCTGGGTTCAGGGGACAGGGGAGGCTGGTCCAGAAGCTGGGAGAGGGGGCAGGCATGAAATGGCGATGCATTTCAGAGAGCCTGGCCCAGGTGAGAGAGAGGCCAGCTCGGAAGTGGTCCTCCATAAGGAGAATGCGATGCTGCAGACTTGGACGTTCTTCTGAAACCATCTTTTGGTTTCGCTAAATGTGTATTGGCTGGCTGATTGATTTGTTGATTGACTGATTGGTGCCTACATTCCCTGAGCCCCTGCTGTGTGTCAGCTCTGGCTCTGGGCACTCAGCGATCAATCAGCCACCTGCCTCGCACCCAGAGAGACCACAAGACAAACGGTTCCAGACGGTGCCACAGGTGCCCCCAGGGGGTCGTGCTCCAAGCAGGACACCCTGGCCACACAGCTGTTCGTTCACCAGGTGATGCAAGCGGTCCGCTCCAGGACCCCCACCCCAGCTCTGGAGCCCCCGCCCAGAGCTCCCTCCTCAGGGAGGAAGCCGGCCCTATCGCTCTTTAGCACGGCCCTGAGATGTGTGCGGATCAAGGACAGAGCGAGGCCAAGGGAGGGGTGAAGGCTGGGACTGGGCTTACTCTACCTGGTCATGTTTGAAAAGCCGTGAGTTTATCGGCTTGTTCTTTCAGCCGTTACAGAATGTCCCGTCAAAATAGCAGCATCCAGAGACCTCTGAACTCTGTGGAGCCCACAAAGGGACTGCCTTCCTTATCCTGGGGGAGAAGACTTTTGTCCCGGGTTCCCCTCGCCGCTACAACAGATTACCCCTGACATGGAGGCTACAGTGCCTTAGAGTCCAGAGGCCAGCTCTGAGATGGGTCTCCCCAGGAGAAAACTGAGGGCTTGGCAGGGCCGAGTTCCTTCTGGAGGCTCCAGGGGGAGAATCTGTTCTCTGGCTGTTGCCAGCTTCTGGAGGCCACATGGGCCCCTTGGCTCGCGGCCCCTCCTCCATCTTCGAAGCCAGCATAGGCAGGGGGGCGGATCCTGCTCAGCCTCCTCTCCTGCTTGCCTCATTCACGTTTATAAGGACCCCTGGGATGACACTGAGTCCCACTTGGAGAATCCTGGATCGCCTCCCTCTTTTAAGGTCAGTGGGCTAGCAACCTTAACTCTCCCTGCAGCCTTAATTTTGCCCTTGACATGTAAGTAACACAGTCGCAGGTCCAAGGGATTGGGATGGAGGCGCCTTGCAGGGACATTAGGCACACCTCAGCCTCCCAGAGAGCATGGCATTTCGACTGAATTTAAACTGACTCTGGAAGGGAGAGCAGAGCACTCTAGGGCCTGGGCAGGCTGCGTGAGGGCTCCCAACCCTAACAGAGCAGATCTCCCAGGTGTCTCCTTGGGAGGCAGGAAAGGTGGGGGAGGGGAAGGAGGTGAGAGATGGGACAAGTCATGTGAAAGGGAGGGGAGACCTGGCAGGGTTCAGCCTGGGGGCAGGAGGGAAGGAAAACAGTGCAGATCACTGCGGGCCACCACTCCCAGCAGGTCACCAGGCTGGCCTGGGGGGTGGGGGGCAGCCTAGTGGGGCAGATTCAGCTGCCCCTATTCTGTCTCTGGGAGCAAGAAAGGGTGCCAGGCTGGGGAAGCCCGCCAGACAACGTGCCGATAGTCTATGCACATAATAAAGCCAGCCAGGTTGGGTCCAAAGGCACACACTGCACTCAAGCCATTTTAAATTTTGCCAAAACCCCAGGGTTTGAGCCAGAAAGAAGACCTCTAGTTGGAGGCGGGGGTAGGAGGTGGGGGACGAGGGCAGTGGGCACTGTTGTAATTGTTTCGTAATACACTAAATTAATTTGTTTGTTTTGACTTGCGCCTTTTAAATAGGGTTTCATCACATAATGTGCTTTCCATCTTATCCTGTTACATGGGTAGGAGACCTTGTATTTGTTTACTTGTGGGATGCCTCCCATCCCCAAAGTCCCATTGAACCAGCTGGATGGGGAGATGGTATTTTTATAGCCTCTCTTCCCTTCTCCATTCTCACTGGCCTTGTTGAGTTCAACGCCCCCCCCACCCCCAGACACCAGAGCCAAGTCCACGCGAGAGCATGCGCCCCTCTCCTCCGCCCTGCCACCACCCCGCCTCTCCCGGGCCGCAGCAGCCAGATGACCAGCACCCCTGTGGGCACCAGGCATGGAGGGTGGAGGCTGAGGCAGCCAGGCGCCCGCACAGGAGGCGGTGAGGTGCAGGGAGAATCCTGAGGGCCCAGGCCTGGGGGGATCCCTATCACAGCCCAAGGCTCCCCTCACGGTGGCTCCTCTCAGAGGCCCATCAGCCCCCACCTCCCTTAGGTGGTGACTCCAGGGGTTGGTTCAGGGGATGGAGCCGGCAACCCGCGATGGCTTCCCACCCTGCCACCTGCTTGGGAGAACCAGAAGGCAAGAGCACTTCAGATCTACTCTCCTAGCAGATATCAAGCTTACAATACATTATTACTAACCAGAATCACCATGCTGTACCTTAGATCCCAGAACTTCATCTTATAACCGAAAGTGTGTAACCCTTTCACTGTCTCCCCACATCCCCCACTCCCGGCCCCTGGTCACTACCATTCTAAACTCTGTTTCTATGAGTTTGACTACTTTATTTTCTTTTAAAGATTTTATTCATTTATTTGAGAGAGAGAGAGACAGCCCGAGCAGGGGAGGGGCAGAGGGACGAGCAGATTCCCTGCTGAGCACAGAGCCCGATGTGGGCCTCGATCCCAGGACCCTGAGATCATGACCTGAGCTGAAGGCAGACACTTAACTGACTGAGCCACCCAGGTGCCCCTGGTCTGACTACTTTAGAGACCTCATCCAAGTGGAAACATACAGTATTTGTCTTTCTGCATCTGGCTTATTTCACTCAGCATAATGTCCTCCAGGTTTATCCATGTTGTCCCAAATAGTAGGATGTCTTCTTTTTCATGGATGAATATTTCATATAGTTTTGATATATTATATATTGATTTTCTTCATTCATTCATTGATGGTCATTTTGGTTGTTTCTGTGTTTTGGCTGTTATAGGTAATCCTGCAATGACATGGGGGGCGCAGAGATCCTGACTGCATTTCCTTTGGATTGATACCCAGAAGTGGGATTGCTGGATCATATGGTAGTACTATTTTCAATTTTCCAAGGAAGCTGTGTACTGTTTTCCACAGTGGCTACACCAGTTTACCCACCAACAGTGCACGAGGGCTCCAATGTCTTCACATCCTCATCAACACTAGTTATCTTTTGTGTTCTTTTTTTTTTTGAAGACTTTATTTATTTATTTGAGAGAGAGAGAGAGAGAACAAGCAGGGGGATGGGCAGAGGGAGAGAGAGAGAAACAGACTTCCCTCTGAGCAGGGAGCCCGATGCGGAGCTTGATCCCAGCGCCCTGAGATCATGACCTGACCACAGGCAGATGCTTAACCGACTGAGCCACCCAGGCACCCCTATCTTTTGTGTTCTTAATAGTAGTCATTCTAATGCATGCAGGGCGATATCTCGTTTGGGTTTGATTTGCATTTCCCTGATAATCAGTGATGGTGAGCATAGTTTCATGTACCTGTTGACCATCTGCCTGTTTTCTTTGGAAAATGTTTATTCTGGTCCTGTGCCCATTTTTAATTGAATTATTTTTGTTCTTATTTTTTTACTATTGAGTTGTAAGAGTTCCTTATATATTTGGATATTAACCCCTTATCAGATATATGCTTTGTAAATATTTTCTCCTATTCTGTAGGTTGCTTTTTTCATTTTGTTCATTCTTTCCTTTCTTCTATAGAAGCTTTTCAGTTTGATGTAGTCCCACTTGTTTATTTTTTCTTTTTTGCCTCTGCTTTTGGTGTCTTATAAAAAAAAAAAAAATCATTGCCAAGACCAGTGTCATGGTTTTTATTCCCCCTCTGTTTTCTTCTTGGAGTTTTATAATTTCAGATTTTACATTTAAGTCTTTAATACTTTTTGAATTAATTTTTTGTGTGTGGTGTAAAATAAGAGTCCAATTATATTCTTTTGCATGTGGATATCCACTTTTCCCAACACTATTCATTGAAGAGACTATCCTTTCCCAGTTGTGTATTCTTGGTGCCCTTGTCAAAGATGAGTTAAACATATATGCATAGGTTTATTTCTGGGCTCTCTGTTCTATTCCATTGGTCTGTGGTTTATTTTTATGCCACTGTTATATTGTTTTGATTACTAGCTTTGTAATATAGTTTAAAATCAGGAAGAGTGATGCCTCCCACTTTGTTCTTCTTTCTCAAGTTTGCCGTGGCTGTTTGGGGTGTTTTGTGGTTCCATATAAATTTTAGGATTGTTTAGCTAGACTAACCAAGAATAAAGGAGAGAGGACTTACATAATAACATTACAGCCAATACCATAGAATCACAAAGGACCATAGAAGGCAAATATGAACAACTATATGCCATCAAATTAAATAATCTAGAAGGAATGTATAAATTCCTAGAAACATAAAACCTACCAAGTCTGAATAAGGAAGAAATAGAAAATCTGAACAGACTAAGAATGAATAAGGAGATTGAAATGGTAATAAAAAATCTCCCATTAAAGAAAAGCCCAGGATCAGGTGGCTTCATGGGTGAATTCCACCAAACATTTAAGAAAGAATTAATGCCAGTCCTACTCAAACTCTTCCAAAAAATTGAAGAGAATACTTTCAAATTCATTTTATAAGACAAGTATTACTCTCATACCAAAGCCAGATAAGAACACTACAAGAAAAGAAAATTATAGGACAATGTCCCTGATAAGCTCAAAAATCCTCAACAAAATACTAGCAAACCATTCAATAGCACATTAAAAGAATCATCCACTATGATCAAGTAGGATTTATCCCTGGGATGTGAAGATGGTTCAACATACACAAATCAAATGTGACACACCACTTTAACAGAATGAAGGATAAAAATTACATGATCATCTCAGTCAATGCAGAAAAAGCATTTGACAAAATTCAACATCCATGATAGAAACTCTGAAGAAATTAGGTATAGAAGGAATGTAACTCAACATAATAAAGGCCATGAATGATAAGCTCACAGCTAACATCATACTCAACAGTGAAAAACTGAAAGCAACATTTCCCATGTTTAGAATATTGTCTTCCAATCCATGAACATGGTATATGTCTCCATTCAATTTAGGTCCACTTTGATTTCTTTTACCAACGTTTTATAGTTTTTAGTGCAAAGGTTTTGCATTTCCCTTCTTAAATTTATTCCTAAATATTTCTTGATGCTTTTGTCAGTGAAATTGTTTTCCTAATTTTGTCTTCAGATTTTTCATTGGTGGTATATAGAGATACAATTGATTTTTTGATATACTGATCTTATATCCTGTGACCTCGCTAAGCTTGCTGATTAATTCTCACAGTAATTTTATAGATTCCTTTAAGTTTTTGCCATAAAATTGTTCATAATCTTCCTTTTTACTTTCTGGAATTCCTATAGTGACATCCCTTCTTTCATTCTTTATTGTGTTAAGTTTTTTTCCTTTCCAATATAAGATTTTGAATCTAAAATCTTTTGCTAAACATTGATTTAGTTACATCACATAAATTTTAATGTCATATTTTCATTTTGTTTTCTATTTTTTAAATTCCTTTTTAATATTTTTTTGACCCATGCATTATTTAGAAATGTGATGTTTGATTTCCAAGTATATCAGTATTTCTCTGATTTCTTTCTGTTGTTGATTTTTAATTTAACTCTGGTATGGTCAGAGAATATACTTCAGATTATCTCAATTATTTTAAATTTATTGAGAATTTTGTTATGCCTAGCACATGATCTATCCTGGAGAATGTTGCAGGTATGCTTGGAAAAACTGTATTTTTCTGCTTTGGGGTGAATTTTTCCATATGTGTTGGTTAGATCCAGTGGTGATAAACTACCACAGCTTTTGTTTGTTTGGGAAAGACTTTATTTTCCCTTTCTTCCTTTTTTCCTTCCTTTTTTTTTTTTTTTTTCCTATTCTCCTTCATTGCTGAAGACAGCTTTGCCAAGTATTCTTGGTTGGCAGTTGTTTACTTTTTATATATGAACATATCATTCCATTCTTTTCTGGCTTTTCAGGTGTCTGCTGAGAAATTTACTGATAGTCTCCTGGTTGCTCCCTTGTATGTGATGAGTTTTTCTTTTCTCTTGCTGCTTTCAAAATTCAGGCTCAGAGGAGGGGAAATGAAGAGTGTTGTTCAATTGGTGTGAAGTTTCAGTTATGCAGGATGAATTAGTTCAAGAGATATGCTGGACAGCATAGAGCTGATAATGGACAATACTGTATATGCACTTGAAAGTTTGTGAAGAGACTAGAGCTCATGTTAAGAGTTCTTACCACAGGGCGCCTGGGTGGCTCAGTTGGTTAAGCGACTGCCTTCGGCTCAGGTCATGATCCCAGGGTCCTGGGATCGAGTCCCACATCGGGCTCCCAGCTCAGCAGGAAGCCTGCTTCTCCCTCTCCCACTCCCCCTGCTTGTGTTCCTGCTCTCGCTGTCTCTGTCTCTGTCAAATAAATAAATAAAATCTAAAAAAAAAAAAAAAAAAGAGTTCTTACCACACATGCACAGAGGGACACAAGGACACTTTTGGAGGTGATGGATAGATCTATTATGTTGATTGTGACAACGGCTCTGCAGGTGTATCATATGTCCAAACTTATAAAACTGCATACATTAAACATGTGTAGTTTATTGTATATCAATTCTATCTCAATAAAGTTGTTTAAAACAAAAGCAAAAGTGTAAAAGAGTCCTGAAATAAAAAGTTGTAAAAAAAAAAAAAGAAGAAGAAGAAAAAGAAACAAATGCTAAAGAAAGTTCTTTAGGATGCAGGGATATAAAACTAGATAGAAATCTATGCCTACAGAAGGGAGTGAAGAGCACTGAAAATAACAAACACTAAGTAAATAAAGAGACTATTTTTTTGTTAATTTCCTTAGAACTAGTGATTGCTTTTATAACAATTTAATGTGTTTATTAATGTGTAGAAATGAAATATACACAATGGCACCAAGGATGGGAAAGGGTCATACAAAAATATACTATTTTAAGATTCTTATATATAAAGCAGTACAATAGTAATTCAAGGCGAATGTGACTATATGTTGTAATTCTTATAGTAACCACAAAAAGTATGATGCACAGATGTGTCCCAAATCCAAAATGTGAGATGGACTGGATTGCTAAATATATTTGATCAAGGCAGGAAAGGAGGAACAAACAAAAAGAACAAGAGGGATCAATAGAAAACAAATAGCAAGGTGGTTTATTTAAACTCAACAGTATCAATAGTTGTGTTTGATGTAAAAAGATTCTACCAGAGATAAAAGGGACACTTCATACTAGAAGTATCAGTTCATTAGGAGGACACATAATCCTAAGAACATTTGCACCTTTAAAACAGGGTCAAAATACATGAAGCAAAAATTGACTGGGAATAAGCGTATCCAAATTCATAGTTGGGGACTGTAACTTTCCTCTTTCAGAAATTTATAGAACCCATAGATCAAAAATCTATAATCTATAGAACATTTGAGTAATACTCTCAACCATATTGATACAGTTGACATTTATAGACTGCCACATCCAACAAATGCAGAATACACATTCTTTTCAATTGCCCATGAAATGTCACCAACAGAGAACATATGCTGTGTCATAAAGCCAATCTCGGTGTATTTCAAAAGGTGGGATTAATGGAGAGTAAGCTCTCTGACCACAATGGAAATAAACCAGAAACCAACACGGAAAAGGTAACTAGAAGTCCTCTAATGTGAGAAAATGAAACAATACACTTCTAAGTAACCAGTGGCTGGAAAAAATGGCAACAGAAATTAGAAAAACTCTTAAATTTGATAGGAATGAAGACACAACATCTCAAAATGTGTGGGGTGCACACAGTTACAAAATACCTGACCAGTCGTCCTCAAAACTGTCAAAATCTTCAAAAACAAGGAAAATCTGAAAGATTTCCGTTTAGAAGAGCCTTAGGAGACAGGATGATCAGAGTTTATGTGTGTCCTTGATGAGACCCTGGGACAGAAGAAGGACATTATGCAAAAACCAAGGACATCCACATAAAATATGGACTTTGGTTAATAATGAT